ATGCAAACTATAAGAAACTACCATCAATCAACAGAAAAGTTCCATGTTTTTTCTTTATTTTTTATGAATAAGGCTATGAATGTCATTTTACTTTATAATGGTTAATTTTGATAATGTTTTAATTGTTTTTAAATATGAAAATTTAAATATAGTAATTGTTTTTATAGAATTTGTAAATCAATTTATTTTAATATATAATTATTAACATTAATATTTTATATTATTTTATTAAATTAAAAATAATACATCAATTACAAAGTCTATTTGTATGAATTTATTTCTTATAAAATTATTTATTTCATTGTCATAATAACAAAATAATCGGTATTTTTTTTTCAATTCACAAGTAATTACTGATTTATTAATAATATAATTGTGATATTTTCCAGATTTTGAGTATATTGTTTTGTTTTCATTCGTAAAACAAATATCATCAATGAAACCATGTTATAAAATTTTGAAAAATGAAATGAATTTCATTTTGGTTAGGAACATATGTCATTATGCAGACGTACAATGAAACCAATTTTATTAAAGAAAAAATGAGATACAATTTTCAAAAAGTTTTTGTTGATAAAACCAATTTCACTAATGAAAAATCGTATTATTTATTTTGAAAAACTTTTTAATTCATAAAACCAATTTCATTAATGAAATGTTTGTCAAATCCAATAATGTTTGATCAACTGAAGACGAAAGGGTAATTCTCTTTTGAATATTGAACATGAACTCAATTTCACGAATGTATTCATTCTATTTAGTTTGCGAAACGTTTTAGTCATGACACCAATTTCAATGATGAAATAAAATTATTTAGTTTAAAAAAATATTTCATTTAGTTTTCAAAAGGTTTCATTTTTTATTGTTGATTAAATTATGTTTTTATGTTTCATCATTTATTAGGATATACCTTGTTTTATTGTTCCTTAGTGTGCTCTATTTTTAATGTGAAGGTTATTTTATTTATAATATTTAGTCATAAAATAAAGATAATTTTTCTCCAACATATAATTTTTCAGATTATCGTAACATTTTTTGTTAAAAATTTACTAATAATAAAATCATATATAGAGATTTTAAAACAATGATTTTGTTTCATTAATGTTAGGATATCCACAATCTTGTTCTCTCGTTTACAAATTATATTTTCAAAAATGAAACTAATTTCATTTTGGTTTGGAACCATGAAACTACTGTCATTAATGAAATAATGGTATTTTGGTCTTGAAATGTTTCATTTATTGAACCATATATGTTTTTATCAGTAAAACCAATTTCATCTTGGTTAGGAAACATGAAACAAATTTAAAATGAAAGAAATATTATTATTCAGTTCTTGTAATGTTTCATTGTCTGAACATTATTTAGTTTCATATTTAAAACCGAGTTCATCTTGGTTAGAAACCATGAAACCAATTCCATTTTGGTTAGAAAATATTTTAACAAATTTCACTGCTACAACAATATCATTCGGTTTTTGGAATTGTGGAGTCCATTGTAACACCCCAATTTCCACATTTGCATATAACGTATATTTCATATAAAAGAAATATAGATTACACCACATAGGTTCCACTGATACAAGGATTCTATATGACTATATGTACAAAATTTACATATGAAAAATTCCAAAAGAAAATTCTTGCACCATCACATGTATAGCAACATGTATCTTCAAAATATATTGGCAACAAGCTGATCTTCAAAATGTAGATAACAGATAAGGAATATAATCATATTTTCTCTTTCCCTTTAATATCCCGAGACCCCGCATTTACTGCAATGCACATTTTCAAAATACAAAAGTGAGGGTTAGACCAGAAGGTCTAGTGAGGAAATCCCTTCTTTGCAAATGCAGGGTGAAGATCACCAAAACCTGATATAATCTCTTTTATAATAAGATTATTATATTTTTAGCAAAAACATACAAATTTGATTGTTAACCAAAATATAAAACCAATAGATTGCTACAACAGAACCCCTTTGCATCATTCTCATATTTGTTCAAACTAGATAGAAATCATTTAGAAATCATAGGCAATTAATGCCTCTGGTTATAATTCGTTTTTCCCTTCTCAATAACATCAAAGTTATTATTTCTAAAGATAACAATATCTCCAAATCATCAAGTCACATAAAAATG